CCTTGGTGTCACCTTATTTGGTGACACATGTGTTGCCGCCAAGACGACGAAAACGTCACCAAATTAAGTGATACCGAGGGTGACAAATTTTATGCTCTCAATTGGAACTGTTATGGCAACATGTCTGTTTCCATAATTGTGGTGACATCTCGGATGTCGCCAAAGTTTGGCGACAAAAAAGGGAAGTCGCCAAAATAAATGTGTCACCGAATTTTGGTCACACGTGTCGCCATAAAGATTACAGTGCAGATCCGATCACTGCGCGCCGTCGACGATTCGCCCCCCTCCCTCTCACCTAAAAAAAGAAGAAAAAGTAAAAAGAAGCGCGCGGGCGGCGCGTCAACTTTAGATCGCAATAATGTCAGCGTTATTGCAGGTAGGCTCGTCTGTTCTGTGACATCACCGGGACGCCTGGACTGCCTGGATATTGTCCCGTGTAGCCCTCTGGGTGTTTTTTGTCCTTATTGGCCTCCGGTAGTCCGGCAGGCGTTCCGGGAGTCCAAGATCGGGTTGGTCAACGGTGGACCAACTTATCTCGCGTTGCTTTATAAGCAATATGAGTAAGTATTTTTTTTCTTGATAGATCCCATATTCTTTACGTAATTTTGTGTGTAGTATACGTGCGCTGCGGGCGACATATTTTTGGTCCCACCATCGCCTTGTGCATCGGGCATTTCGAGTGTATTTGGGTCAGGTCAGGCAGGGAGCGAAGCAGCAGCAGGAGCAGAAGCAAAGGAGGCGAGCGCGCAAAGTTGAAATGCAATACGGCATGAAATTCGCCAGGAATCCGAACGTCGGTCGACGGGGCGTATTGTTCTTCAAACCTACTTGGCCCGAGCGCCGGCCGGCCCCGCGGTGGCGCGCGCACGCCTCAATGCTGGTCTGGATTCCACACGGCCCCCTACTCCTTGTAAAGGTTCTGGTGACTTGCATCTAATTTCTCTCCCCTCGGGTTGCATTTTCGCCCCCCCCCCCCTCTCTTTTACTCGCTCACTCACTCACTCACTCACTCACTTACTCACTCACTCCCAATCCCTCCCTCTCCCTCTAATAGCGGTTAAAAGGTGTGTCATAGTTTTGTTTCTGTTGTTTGCGCCATCTAGAACTATAGAGGTTCTAGGCGCCATCACATTTTTAGTAGATGATACCTTTTTGTATTTTTTGAAACGGTATTCCTTGCTTTATTTCATTCTTTGCAGTACGCCTTGCTGTGGCAAAGACTCCCCACAACTCCGCTCTCGCATGCCATAGTATTATCTCACTCCGACTGAAGCAGTCCTAATCCGGAAACAATGAGCATGTCCAGCGGACGGGAAGGCGATGGCCTCGAGCACTGAACCTCTTACTTCCCATTTTCTTTGTATTTCCGGCCGGGCCTTGTGACAGGTCGTGGAGCAGCCACTTCCCTCTCCTCCTCCTGGGGGGGTGCACTAGACGATCTCATCTCTCTTCGGCTTTTTATGCGTTAATCCCGTCTTCACGAAGGCGCTCATTTACGCCCAAGTGACCCCAGTACACCGGTAGATGCTCGCGGGCCTCGCCTCGGACCCATCCCGTTTAGCTAAGCCCCCTCTTTTTTTGCCTGGACCCTGGCGTTCCTGCTGGAGCGTTCATTCCTATTCATTCCCATGGGAAAATATGGTCCAAGTGGATCCCTCCCGACCCCTTTTGTCCCATCTCTTTATTTGTCGCTCCATCCTCGTGAAAAAAGTTTCCAAAACTCTTTGTTAAATTTTTAAGGATATAACGAAATTTATTCGTAAACTATAGGCTACAAAGAAACTTTGTGAATTTACAACAAACCGTTGGTTTCAAATTTCCAGAGAACATTTCCAAATTCCCAACAAAGTATCGTTTTCTTCACATCTTTAAACTGAATAGTGTGATGTTGAAACAGTTTTGTCAACTGGGATGCAGATGTAAGAAATAATAGCCTACTGTATTTGGTATAGATGTGAATTAAACCGACCCATTGAAAATTACTAATTTTTCTAGAATTTAACGGAGACATGTTGGAGTTTCTTAATTCCGTAGATTCAATGGAGTAAAACGAAGGCTCTTTGTAGAGTGGTTACAAAGGAATGTTGGAAAAGAAAAACACGTAGATATTCTGGGAAAGTACGAAGGAGTGTTGGGATTTTGGTTCCCAGAAAAGTATTGTGATTTTCGGATCTCTGTGTATGGTAAAAGTGTTGTAAAATCACAATTTTTTTCTAACAGTGTACAGTAGTTCAGATAGACTTTGTCACCATACTAGTCCTTGATGACAAGGACTTCATACGTCGGGTATTCTAGACTGTTACCCCAAAACTCGATGTAACATTTTCCGCCGGCCAGCTACAACAGAAAAAATATTCGTTCTCTTTTATATTTCTTAATCGAGAGTTAAGGGCAATGACACCTTACATTACTCATGTATAGTTATGTTTAGTTTAGGTAAAAGGTTGTAAGGTATCATCTGCTAAAAGTATTGTAAGCCTAGCTTTTCAAAGTTTGTATGCACCGGCGGACACCAAAGTGTGTGAATGTCGCATACTTCGTTGGTGTGCAACGCCATTCGTACACAAAGAGGCACAAGTTGTGAATTTTGAAGGAAAAGTGATTGTGATGTACAGATCATTTGAGAAAAATACGCTTACCGCTCCTGGTGTCATCATCCTCTTTTGACCGACGTTCGGATTCGGGTCGGAAAGGTCGAGGTCGAGCACTCTGCACGAGAACAGATACTCGTTGTCGGATGTTACTCCCACCCGTACTGCTCCCTCCGGCACACCTCCGGCAGACGGGACCCACTGAACCGATGCCGATGAAGAGTTATCAAGAACGGCCACCTATAATCGAAATCAAAATCAGTAAATATTTCCGTCGTTTCAGTAATGCATTATCTAGGTCTAAATTTTCATAACATTGTCTTCAAATGTCATAACCATTCTGAATTTTCAGTTCAAACATAAAATTTCATTAAAATTCTGAAAATTTAGTTAATTTTGGTTTTGAAATTTCAGAACATTTTTAACAGTGTGTGTCCTGACTCCCAGGGACTTCGTGGACGTATTCTTTATAACTTACCTCAAACGTCGTCACTTCTCTGATGGTGTGTCCCCTTAAGGCGGCGTAGGCCCAGTACTGTTCCCACTGCGCGACGACAGCGGGGACGATTGCCCCAATTGAGTTCATCCAGACGCGCCCGACGTAGCTAGAAACTTCCACCCCGTCCAACCTCTGGAAACCCGCTACAATGGCGTTGTCCGGAGGGGATTCTGATCCATGATAGAGCACCCATTTTATAGCACTTTCTGGTTAGAGGGGGGGGGAAATTAGATTGATTATAAACGTACTGCGACATCACATACAGCTGCATAATAATAACATAATTTTTACTACACGTTTTTTTACCTGAACGGCGAGCCTCAACGCTGAACGCCGCCGCCAGGATGAGTACGAACGCCGTCACTCGAAGACCCACCATTGCGTGGCAAGTAATGGTGACTGACACGGTCTGTTTTCACGCGACACCTCTGTGCCACAACGCTAGTCGTGCACTCGGTACCCTTGTTGGGCGAGGGAGACGTGAAACCTGAGAGCGCCCACTGTTTAGTCAAGATAAATAAAAGCGAATCTGAGCCGACATAATCCATTCTTCGAGAGAATGAAGATAGCATGGATGCATGGATGAAAAGTTCCGGGCGGTAACCCACTTACAAACTCTATGCACTTGCCCTCGTCCAATTTATTTATTTTACAAAACTTCTTTAGTGCGCAGAATGGAGAAATTCCTCCGAGAAAGCCAGCTGTAAAAATAAGCTCAGGTTTAGATACCTACTTTTCGTCCTTTCTTTCTTTCTACGGGTGTGGCGGCGGCACGCCGGGACGCATAGGCCACGGCGCTTTGCCGGCCGATGACGTGACGAGCTCCCAGAATCGAACGGTTCGCCCCCCCCCCCCTTTTCCAGCCCCCCTTTTCCCCTTCCCTCTTCACCGCGTCGGACGACGTCGGGGCGCGCAGAGAGGGCTCTTAAATCGACATTTTTTTTTTCTATTATGAGAGTAAGAGAGTTAGGTGCACCCCGAGGGACTATCATTAAAAGCAATAGGATACACATTATACCAGGTGCAGACCATCCAGATTTGTTTCTTTTTCTTTTGTAAAAAAAGGAGAACAACAACAAAACATGATTTTAAAAATTTGTGACTTCATAAGTGTTGGCCCTGTATAACTTGCCTACCGAACATTTTCGAAAAAAACACTAATTTGCAACTATTTTTTGTGACTTCAATAGCTATTTTTTCCGACTTAGCTAAATTTTAACGATTTAGCTAAATTTTAACGATTTAGCTAAAATTTTGCCAACCTTGCTATTTAGTTACCCAGAGAGAAATAGGTCGTGGAAAAGACGTGGACTCCACGTGGTTTCGTGGATTTTTCGTGGTGGTGGATACATCCACCAGATATCCACCACTATTTACCTTTCTAAAAAGTTGCAAATAAAATCATAAGAAACCATTTTTTCGTCAACATTTCTTACTAAATGGGATTTTTATTGTTCTGAACGCCATATTCCAGTATATTGTCAATTCGACGTGG